GTTCCTCTATGTCTTTTTTGTGTCGTCTCATTGCTGAACAATGCTCCGTTGTATGGATGTACCAGTTTGTTTATTCATTCACCTGTTGAAGGACATCTTGGTTGCTTCCAGCTTTTGGCAATTATGAATAAAGCTGTTTTAAACATTCATGTGCAGGTTTTTATGTAGACATACATTTTCAGCTCATTTGGGTAAATACCTAGGAGCGCAATTGCTGGATTGTGTTAATAAACCTACGTTAAGCTTTTTAAGAAACTGCCCAACTGTCTTCCAAAATGGCTATAATTATGTATTCCAGTTAACATAGAGAATCCCTGTTGCTTGGTAAATATCTTTTGGTAGACTGTCTGTAGGCAGAGGCGGGTAACCTGTGAGTTCCCAATGTAGACTTTCAATTAATCCTCTGTTTTCAGACCTTCTGTCATGTTCCATTGTACCTTATGTCCAAGTCCAAAGCTTCTCTGAGGTTCTGCTTGATATGCTAGCTTTCTGACTTTTCCATTAACTAATAATATTCCTTCTGCTTTTTATTTTACAGGAATTTGTTATCTTTTGTTAATGACCCCCTTCCTGATCTCTTTAGTGTTTTGAATTTAAGCCTTTAAAAGAATTCCATTACTATTATTTTGATGATGCCTTAGAAGGTAGATAGTATAAATGCATGTGTTTAATTAGTATGCCATATTAAACCTGAAGTTTCTGCATCCTTCTTTTTAATAGTTACATGTTATTCAATTCTATGGATGTTTTGTTATTGATTAATTTGTCTTCTACTGATAAACAATTTTGCAATTGAACATTTGTGAATGCTGATGAACATTCTTGGATGTACTTTTGTGCACATGCTTATCTATACAATAAATTCCTAGAGGTATAGTGTTGGATTGACAGTTGTTGGAAAAAGTTCCTCTTTGGAGTGTGTGGACTTTTGGAAGGTGGCATTGCATAGTGGTTAAAAGCATGAACTCTGGAGCCAGACTGCTTTGGTTCATAATCATAGCTTTCCTCCTTAGCAGCAAGTTATTTAAGTCTCTGTGTCTGGCTTTTCTAATGGGTAAAAATTGGAATAATAATATCACTTTTCTGTCCTGTGGAAAACCAGCACCGTTGAGTTTAAACATCCTGCCATGTCTGCCATCTAGGAGCCTGACTAAGTCCAGGTATTGATCATCAGTGTGTTATCTCCAATCTCTGATCAAAAGGAGGGAATGATTTAGGAGGTAATACTGGAGCCTTATTCCCTGTCCTTGAGTACAAAGAATGTGACTCAGCTGGAGCTGGACTCACGAGGACTCATAAGGACACATCAACTGTGTCCTGAGGTATAAAGACAATAGCTAGGACAATCTTGGAAAACATCTTTTAGGGAAACTTTCACATAAACAAATAATAAACATTAGCACACAAAAGACCCGCATACTTTCCACTCTTATCTTTTTCCATCAGCATTTAGTGAATAGTAAGATTTGTTGGACCAATAAAAACCCTCCTGACTGTCTTACTGAAACCTGTACCAATGATTATTAAGAAAGGCAATTCAAAACGTAGAATCATGGTGATTTGGCAGTTTTTAGCCAATCTGTGAAAAGGTGAAGCTTTCAATGATTTTACCCATTTTGTAATGTTAACATATACTGATGATTGTGTAACGTTTCTTGGACTTGGGCAGACATGGCTCTAGCAGCATGCTTGTCCATTTTCCCACTTTTGCCTCTTGGAACATAAGCCGAATAAAACCTTCCCTTTTACTTTACAATAATAACAATAATAATGTCATCTTTCTCCTAGGGTTGTGAAGACTAATGAGTTAATTTGCTGATATTCTTGTCTGATAATGAACACTCGTAACTATTATCTGTCAGTGTTATTTTTCTAAGTTAGACTTAGCAACCACAGTAGGAAAAAAAGCCTCTGTGCCAGTTTTGGCTTCTGGTCATGAGACATTTTATTTGACAGCTAGTAAAAGAAAACTACATTCCATAAAAATGATGATGATCATGGGACTCCAGGAGTCAGACCACAGTTTGAAATGAGGATCTGCCACGTTCCAGCAATGGCCTTAGGCAAGTTACTTAACCTTTCCCAGTTTCTTCCTCCATAATGATCGGTATCACATAGCATTTGTGTGAGGGTTAGCAGGCATTACTCAGGTGTGATGGGGTGCTCTTATTAACTCAGATTCCATTATTTTTTGAAAAAACGTTATACTAAATGTAGATTTTAAAACAATAAGTAGGCTCTTTATTTTTTTAAATGATGGGATCTTGAAATTCTCTTGTGGGTAAACTGCTCCTCCCCCCTCTTTTTTCCCTTTAAAAAAAAAAAACGAACTTTTAATGATTGATCTCTTTGGTACAATTACATAAGTAAATCAAAGATCTCATTTTGAAATTGGGCTCTTCTTGAAAATGAGAATCTAAACTGCCTTCATGATAATGTGAACAGTTTATTTTTCATTGTGGGAAGAGTTGCATATCAGTAGACTGTTTGCTGGAAACAGGAAAATCCATCCCCTCTTGCCCCCATTCTTGGTGGGTTGGAGCTGGTTCTCTGGGTAGTTCAGACATGTTCCTGGGCATGTGCTTGTGGGCAGCAAGCTCAGGGCCAAGGAGAGTAATTCATCAGATCACTGGGAGGGACTTGGAACTGTCTTGCCCAGTTCCAGTTGCTACTGAGTCCATTCCGAGTCACAGCAACTCCACGTGTGTCCAAGTAAACTGTGCTTCATGGGGTTTTCAGTGGCTGATTTTTCAGAAGTAGATCTCCAGACTTTTCTTCTGAGGTGCCACTGGTAGACTCCAACCTCCAACCTTTCAGTGAGCATTGAACATTTTAACTGTTTGTTTGCACCACCCAGGTACTCCATCTCACCCAGTAGTCTACTCAATATAGCCACTTGAAAGCTGCATTGTCAACTGTATCTCCAGTTTTAACAGTGCTTGGCTCATAAATGAATGAAAGAAAGAATGAATGAATACAAGTTTAAGAATTGTTTTTTTCTTCTCTTTAATTCCTCCCTGTTAGCCCCAAGTGTTCAATAAAGTCTTGTTAAACATTACAGCCTCACTCTCCTGTGAGGGTGCTTGACCGGGAGGGAACCAAAGAGAAGAAGGATCTGAGGGAGGCTGTTTGGAGTGACCTGACTGAGAGAACAACCAGGGCAGACTAGAGACAAAGCACAGCTCCTAGAGATCCCCAGGGAATACTTGGTGAGGGAGCCTGGCAGAAGCCTGGACTTCCTGCTCACTTGTGGGAGGGACTTTTGGACTGCTTGTAACTGGGGATTAAAAGGCGGATCATCTCTCAAGCCTGGAGTATCTGGGTTAGCACAGGGCCTGTTAATAGGAACCTCTAAATAAATGGCAGCTTTTTATATTTTATTTCTAACTTCTGGTAAAGACTAAATAAAGCCTGCATTTGAAGTCCTAACCACTGTTCCTTAAGCCAATCCTGCCTTTGTGTGTTATGGATATAACTGCACAGTCAGAACAGTATTTTCAGTACAGCAATTATGTCAATAACATGATTATCAGATCAAATGAGACTCAGAGACCAGACAGGGTAACAGGGATCCTGGGCATTCAACCAGCTCTGCTCAGCGACATAACCTTGCATTAAAACAAACAAACAAACCTGTTGCAGTCGAGTCAATTCCAACTCGTAGTGACCCTATAGGACAGAGTAGAACTGCCCCATAGGGTTTCCAGGGAGTGGCTGGTAGATTCGAACTGTCCACCAGGACTCCAACTTTGCATTAGTCAGTTGAAATTTCAAAGAATCGGTTTCTGCCTCAGTAAAATGGGATTAGTGCCATAATAATATCTACCACCTGTTGAGGTTTAAAAACATATCTTGACATTAAAAGAGAAAAAACAAAAAATAAATTAGAGGGCAATGTGCCCTGAAATCTTGATCTGCAAGTCACTTTTAATGGTAAAATCATTACAGATTATATTTCTATAACATTCCTAGCAGATGCTTTCCTAAGGACAAATCTTGATTTTCAGTATTGTCTTAGAATATGATTATAATTTATTATTATTATTTTTCACCATTCACATATTAATGTATTGAGAAATCGAAGGTCTATGTTCAAAAGGAGGTTACTTCATAAAATTAGCTAAAATGTACAGTAGATAGAACACTCATTCACACATTGTAGTACCTGTGTCAATTGTTCATGCAGGGCTCATTTTTTGTTTTTGCTGTTGAAATTTAATCGAGGACATAGCACAGGTAGCAAAAAAAAAAAAAAAAAGCAAGTTAACAGACTCGTTTGTAGTTACCAGCAAGGACCATAAGGACCATATAAATCCTGCAGCCAGAAAGCTTGTTTAAGAGAAGATTCAGGAAAGATCCAGAAAAGTGCTTGTGACATCAGACCCAAATGTGGATCTCTTCAAACAAAAGCTTCAAGTCTACCTCCCACTTTAATAATGAAACAGCTGCCAGGGTCGAGGCCCCTTTTGGGGTCTTTATTTGTGATGGATAACTGGGTCTTTTTTTGTTTTGTTTGAGGAAATAAATATTTGAAGTGGGTAACTGAAGAAGGTTATGCTGCTGTTATGATGTTATTGATACACAGGCTGACGCTATTATGGCGGATGCTATCAGGCTACATTATCTTTATGCCTCCAAGGTAACCTGAAGCAACTGTCTGTTGACTTGGCACTACCTTACACTGAAGCGTCTGCCCTGCCTGGGGACTGTAACCCAAGCCAACCACACGCCTCACAGACAGCTTTCTTTAGCTGCTGACAGCCTCAAGGAAGGAAGAGTGTGAAATAGCCTAGGATGGTTGCTTCTGAAGGGGGTCTAGCTGCTGAGGTACTCTTAGGGAGGGTGGCCTTGCCATCTCCTAAACTTCTCTCTAGAAGAAACCACTAGAAAGTCCTTTTCTTCAGGCAAGGACATAGTTACTATAAGAAAACCGGAAGCCATCTGAACCTCTGGAGAGTTTTCTTTTCCCCTTTGAATTTTGCAATGTTTCACTGCTGGTCATGTCCACATGGAAAGCAAGGCTCACCAAAAGACTGAAATCTCCATCTAGAAGGATGCATCCATTTCCATGCTCTGCGCTACTTGCTTGTTTTGGGAATACACAGGAGAATGCTCCCTTTGATCAGTCCAGTGTGGCTGATACTCATTCCACCACCTATGGTCAGCCCATGGCCAAGGCGGACAGAGACCCAAGTCACCCGAGGGGGGAAGAAGGAGCTCCAGAGAAAAGACCAGATTCCAGCACCCATTCAGAGAGAAATGGCAGTGCAAATCGGAACTCAAGTAACCATGCTGCTGCTCAGCCTGCTGAGACACCTGAGGATTTGCCTGGGTCCCTAAATGCTCAACCAGGCTGTGAAGCAGTTACTTTTCAAACATCTATCCCCAGACCATCAATTATTGAAATGCCAAAGGTGAGTGTTCCCAACGCTATTAGAGAAAGCATGCTGTGGAGGGGAGTTCTGATCATTCTGTGAATAACAGATGTCTTCAGAAAACAGACTTGTTAACAGTCTTACCAAATAAGACTTTGGTGGGAGGAATCCTACTAGTGAAATGAAGTGTGCGAAGCCTTTTAAATTCTCAGGAAGTTCTCAAAGGATGTGGAGGGAGACAATGACAATGAGCACTGGAGCCTTAGCAATGGCCAAACTCGACCTATGATTAACTAGCTATGGTGCATCAAGGTCAATAGTGTCTCAGTAAATGATTCAGAGTAGTACAGTCTGGGAAAGCATGTTTTTGCTGGTCTGTGAATTCGTTATACAAAAATCCACAAGATGAAATATTTGATTATGGAATTTAAGAAATTGCCTCTACTTAAATCACATGATATCAAAGCAATCTGGTAAAAGTTGGAAATGATAATCACCGTACTCATAACAGTAAAGAAAAGATTGACCTATAGAAATATTCACAATGTGGATGTTTATGTGATAATTTTCTGAGACTTAAAGGGAGGAGTAGTAACTTATTAGAAAAAATAACAAATTTAAGGAATTAAAAAATAAGGCAGCATCTAGAGTTACTTATGTATTTATTTTTTTCTTTTTTTGGCATTACGGCATTTTGATTGTTAAATATTCTCATTGGACTGAGCTGCACAATTATTTCAAAGTTCCTGGGGAGGTAATTTGGGGAGGCAAAAGAGACGCAGGGTTCCTGGAGCATTTTTGGTTGTGTTCCTGGCTGAGTAGTTTAGGACCAGCTTTTTAAAGATGAAAGTTTGGGGGAGTCCATTGCTAAGATTTTTTTTAAAGATAATTTTTTTCATCTAGTTTAACTAAATAATTTGTTGTCTGACTTGCTGACTTGAACCCAAGAAGCCTCATTAGTAACAAGAACTGTCAAACATGAAGATAGGGTTAAACAAAACTAAAATATAGCTTAATTTGACATTCTATAGGTTTGTATTAAATGATTGAAGCTCAACTCTGTTGTCTACATCCTTCTATTCTGATATTGAACGGAGGGCTTCATAAAACCCTCTGTTATTACAATAAAGTTATAGCAATAACTATAATTTTTTTCTAGTACCATAAAGCAAAACTCAAAACCAACCAACCAACCAATGAAAAAACCCCAGAAATTCGTTGTTCAGTTTTCACTTTATACTCACATCCAGATTAAGATATTTTTTAGTAGCACTGCAGTTAACTGAGTGGACCTCATGGTCAAGTTTATATTTTTTGGAAGTTCAAAGAAGTAATGACGTACTGTTTTAATGAGCTGGGATTCATTAAATGAACTTTGTCTTGGGTAGAGTTTCCAGCAGCCCAGGACCTCTCCTGTATTGCTAAACATAACAGAAAGTACAAAGGTTCTATTTAAATTTATCTTTCTGTTTTAGAGGCATATGACACACAGGGTCTCAAGGTATACAGGTGTATTCAAATATAATCAGTAAAACACAGTGGGTTAACATCCATACCTATTGTATACATAGTGTGAACAAAGGCCTGGATAGACTACAGAGATGAGGCAAGATTTATATGGAAGCAGCCCTAATGTATGGTATTTCCAGTTGCCTCATATGTATGTGAAAGCTGGACAAAGAATAAGGAAGACCAAAGAAGAATTGATGCCTTTGAATTATGGTGTTGGCGAAGAATATTGAATATACTATGGACTGCCAGAAGAATGAACAAGTCTGTCTTGGAAGGAGCACAGGCAGAGTGCTCCTCAGGAGTGATGATGGTGAGAGTTCATCTCGTGTACTTTGAAACAGGTTATCAGGGGGAACCAGTCCCTGGAGAAGGACATCATGCTTGGTAGAGTCAGTGAAAAAGAGGAAGACCCTTGATAAGATGGATTGACACAGTGGCTACAACAAAGGGTTGAAACCTAAAGATTAGAGGATGGCACAGCATGGGGCGGAGTCTTGTTCTGCTATACATAGGGTTGTTATGAGTTGGAACTGACTCAAGGGCACCTAACAACAACAACAAAAACAAAATCCTAATGCAAGGCCAAACGTAAGTGTCACAAACAGAGGCACATCTAAGAGGGTTCAAAGGAAGGTTGGAAGGTCAGGAAAGAGATCTTGGAGGAGAGGTGATATTTGAGATTGGTCTAGAAGAAGGGTTAGGATTTTTAGAGGTAGAGGTGAAGAAGAGGGCATTGGAATAAAAGGAAAAGGTATCAACAAAACCATGGAGGTAAGGGAATGCAGAGCAAGAATAGGTACATCAGATTGGCTAAAGATTAGACTACATATTGGAGAGATACCTGGAAAGGCAGGTTGAGGGCCTAAATGGGATGCCTTGAGTGCTGAGTGAGAAGTTAACTTAGTAGACAGTGGGAAGCTTTGATAATTTTGAACAGAGGAACGTAATGCTTGGTGATTCATTTTCAGAAGCTTAATACATAGGACTCTATAGGATGAATTAGAGTTGGGAAGATTGGTGTTGATGGGTCATTGTGATAACCAGGTCCGGGGACGGTCGTAAAAGGAACAGCAGGAAAGTGAGGTGGGAGGGACAAAGAGCAAAGGACCCCATACGGTAACAAATGCAGCAGTTGATTATGGGACCAAAGTGAAAACAAACTGGGAATGATAACCTGAAAACACTACACAATTAAGTGTCAGGGTATGCAGGAAAAGCAACTTCTGGGGGCCCGGTAAATGGACATCGATTCTAGTTCAAATATGAATGGTGTAATTGATTAATGAACTCTATTGCTAAACGAAAGGTTGGATATTGGAGTCCACCTAGAGGTACGTTGGAAGAAAGGCCTGGGGATCTACTTTCAAAAAATCAGACATTGAAAACGCTATGGAGCATAACTATGGAGCACAGTTCCACTCTGACACACAAGGGGTTGCCATGAGTCAGAATCGACTAGACAGCAACTTGTTAACATTTGTGGAGCATTTATTGCATGCCAGGAGCCGTGGTGGCACAGTGGTTGGTTAAGTGCTTGGTACTAACTGAAACGTTGGTGATTTGAACCCGCCAGCTGCTCCATGGGAAGAAGATGTGGCAGTCTGCTTCTGTAAAGATTATAGCCTTGGAAATCCTATGGGACAGTTCTACACTGTCCTATAGGGTGGCTATGAATTGGAATTGACTGGACAGTGAATCGACTTGATGGCAACAGGTTTGGGTTTTTGGTTTATTGCATGTCAGTCACTCTTTTAAGTACTTCACTTGGAGTATCTCATCTAACTTTGGTTATAGTGAGGTGCATATTTTTATTATTCCCGTTTTACAGATGAGGACATTGACACTTAAAGAAAGGGTAATATACTTGCCCCAGGTCATAGAGGCAGTAAGCAGTGGAGCCAGGTTTGGAGCCTAGTTCTGTTTGATTCCAAAGACCATACTCTAAATTATAATATGCTTCTACTAATTTGTTATTTGTGTGATGTTTTAGAATTTACAATCAGCTAGTCGTATGTGATCTCTCTTGATATGCAATCAAATTTAAATTCCGTTTATATATATATGTATGTATATGTATATATATATGTACACACACACACATACACAGTGAAAACTGTGAAAGCCGGAACTCTATGGGACTGATTATATTCCCGGTTCTTTCCAGTTTTCCACCTTTGACAAGGGGCAGTCTTACCACTTTTCTATCTCTCTTTATTAGTGGAAAATATTTGAGTTTTCTGTCTCTTGACAGGTTTCCGCCTTACATAAGTTACGGCTTTTGCAAGTTTTACTGTGCTTATATATACATATATAAGTATAATAATTATTATTAGTTTTTTATTAATTTGCTTAACCTTTTTCTATGTATAACAAAGTGCTAGGGACACTTCCCACTTTGCATCCTGCTGCGGACAAGGCTTAGTTGATGACAGTGTGGGGTTCCTTGGAGATTTTCTGATTAAAATGCCATAGGATTGCCCAGATTTTTCATTACCCAGTAATTTTGCTATGACATGTTTCCCCTCAGCAGATGATGAATGAGCTGCTTTTATTACCATCTTGCCTGGCAGCAAAACTATTTTCCCTTTGGATGCACTGATCCTCGTCATTTAAACTGCCTTGGTAGAGGTAACAAATAATCCTTTTTTTGAAGTTCAGCCTCAGAACACAACTATAGCTGAGAAATGGGGACAAGCCCCTCTATTTATCTTTAGTTACCTGGCATTCAGATAGGAGGATGATTCATTTAAATTGGAATCAGCATCTGGTCTAAAAGGAAAAACTAGAGGTAGGGAAGCTGAGTAAGCTAAGTAAAAACGAAATACTTTTATTTGTACAAATATGTGCACACGTCTGTATTTATAAAGGGATACTGACTAGCATGCAACCTTTTTTCGATCATCTCTTCCCTGCTCTAGACCTGAAATCAAGGTGATAACAACTCTGATATTGGGAATGTGTCTTATAATTGCTGGTTATCTTCTAATTATAATTTTTTCTTTCTTTCTTAGTGGTCTTATAATTGAAGCATCTTATAATTAGTGGAATCTTAGTCAATGAAATAAGTATTGCTCTTGTTTTTTTAACCAATAGTTCTTTTGCTCTTGCTTTGTGTCAGGACGACACTTCGTCTTGGTGAAATAAAGATGATTAAGACACAGTCCCTGAAGTTGCTTACCGTTTTAGTGAGAGATACAGCTGGGTAAACAGACAGTGTCATTGCAGTATGAGAAGACTTATGGGTTAACACAAGGAGCCCAGGTGGCGCAATGGTTAAGCTCTCAGCTGCTAACCAAAATGTTGGTGGTTGAAACCCACCCAGCAGCTCTGCAGGAGAAAATACTTGTTGAACTGCTCTTGTAAAAATTACAGCCTAGGAAACCCTCTGCAGCAGTTCTACTCTGCCACATTGGGTTGCTATGAGTGGAAAAATCCACTCAACAGCACCTAATAACAACGAGTTAACACTGCATGCCATAGGCGCACATGGAAGGGGCTCTCAGCTCAGCCCTGGGAAGACAGGGGAG